AAACCAGTCTGTGATTCTGTGACTCGCCGGCACAACTCAGCCCGGCATCCCCCTGCCAGCCCCTCTCCCGCCAGCAGCTAAATCCTGCAGCCTCGCCAAAGGCTTTGGGGAAAGACCCCTTGGTGTGCTGCAGCCGCTGGCCGCTCCCTGGGAGCGTCTCCGTAGGACACGGTCCGTGCCGCGCTCTGCACAGCCCCCGAGGCGAGCCCAGATGGCGGGCGAAGGCCGTCTCCTCCGTAGGACACGGTCCGTGCAGCGCTCTGCACAGCCCCTGAGGCGACCCAAGATGGCGGGCAAAGCGCTCGTGCAGGCGCGGGCCCTCCAGCTCTGCCTCAGGGGGACGGGAGGCCGCGCAGGGCCCCTTTGTGCTTTTCCACCCTCTAGAGGGCAGCCGGTTCCCAGCAAAAAGCCCGTTTTTAGGGCTTTTAGATCCGCATGCCGCACTCGGCGTTACTCCCAGGCGCCGGGAAGGGCGAGCGGGCCGCCACCATGTCCCTGCTCACCCTGCTGCGAAAACTCGGGCCCCGGGCCAGGGGATGGGCAGGCGCAGCCGAACCTGAGGCACCAGGCTGGGACACTTAGGCAGGACACTGTGCTTCAGGGGTAGGATGGGGCCTCGGAGCCCCCAGGAGCTGCACCCTCACCGGCCATGGAGCCATCGACCCCTCTGAGGTGCCGCAGGGTCATGGCTGCCGCGCTGTCCCTGTGCCTTCTCCACGCACCTCCCGGGGAAGCTTCGCTGCCACGGCGGCTAACCAGGACAGGGATGTCCCCGTCTCCCCGGGATCACCCTCCATCAGCACTTTGTCCCACCAGGAGATGCAGCCCGAGGCCGAGGGGCCCGGGGTCCCCTCCTGGCAGGGCAGCAAGTGATGGAGACCCTGGCCCTGCGCTCTGGGCAGTTTTATTGGGAGATTTGGGGAAAGCCGAGCTCTCGTGAGCGGGTGGCAGAGGTGGTGGCTTTCGGGTACCTGCCGGCTCGTTAGGGCTCTGAAGGGGGGGAGGTCCGGTCTCAAATCCCTGGTGCTGGGTGTCTCTGCACGGATTTGCCCCAAATGTGCATGTTTTAAGTTGGTGCTGCTGTCCCACCCGGCCTCAGCATCACCCTGGCCCCAGCTTCGGGGCCGCCGACTCCTTCAGCTTGTCAAAAAAGGGAAAGTAACCAAAAAAATTGCAGTTTTGGTTTCCCTCATTAGAGGGCACCAACAGACCCACCTGGGACGGGGAGGCGGACACATCCAACTGCTGGGGAAAGGCAGCGGTACAAAAGTTTATTTGTATGTTCTCCCTCCACCCCCTTGTTATTTTTCTCATTTGGCCGTAGGTAAATACAACCCCCAGTGAAATTCTCAGGGGAACTTAGGGCAGAAACGCGCTCCCAAAGGCTCCTTGGGTTGCAGCAGACACGGGGCAGCATTCACGTCCCGAGTGGTGCACAGCACCATCCACCACCCGGGGAACAGAGCGAGACGCACTCGTTTATTGTCAAAAAACCCTCAAACTTTACTTGTGTTTCTCTCAATAAATAATTTACAGTATATACACGCGGTGACACTCCCGTGGGTCTCAACGGAGGGAGGAGGGGGGGTGTGTGTGTTCTCCTAACACCCCCCCCTCCTTTGCCTACGTATTCCTTTTGTTTCCAAGTATCGGGTCTTTCTTGGCCACACTTCACCTTTAACCAGAACTGGGTCAAACACAACCAAAATAAAGTGCTTCACTGTTTGCTTCTAAAATAGGGATACCCCGACGGCCGTACGCCAGCCGGCCACCACTGGAGCGCTCACCTGGACAGCAGGGCCGAGCCACGCCGCAACCAGACTTTCCTCGGCTGGAAATTACCCCTAACCCACAGCACATCACGCCGGAGGGCGATGGCTTTATAGGAGAGGAAGGTCTTAAGGGAAGCGTGGACCTGCTGGCACGCTGTGGTGCGTCAGGTAAGACGGCTTTCAACAAGCTCAGTGTCTTCCGAGGGATGCTCTACGCAGCCGCTGTTCATCTACGGGGTAACGCAGCAAGAACAAAATTCTCTCCTCTTACCCAGTGACAAATTTTGGCTTTTAGAATTTTGCATTAACTTCTAGGGGAGACAACAACTTGGGTTCTTTCTTCAACGAAGGAAACAGAGCCCGACTCAGCCTGGCCAAGCAGTCAGTGCCTTGGGAAGCTGAGCTGTCCTGTGCCGCGCTCCAGTGGCTGCTCTCCTCAGCGCCTCCGAACTGCGATATCCTTATTTCAACATCTCCCTAATCGAAATACCTGGGGCACCAGCAAACAAAGCAAGGAGCAAAGTAGTAAACACATCTTTTTGTTTCTTTCCTTAAACACTTAAAAACCAGTTACAACTCTTCACCTGTACAGTCACACGAGATCAATGCCAGGGCTCTATATATTAAAGAGACAATATAAATTACATCCATTGACACAATTTTGCATTTCTCTGCTGCTTTACAAACGGAGCTCTAGAGCTGTTAGGACACAATGAATAGTCACGTTGAGTATTTACACCAGGCTGCCTCTTGGCACTAGCTCAGATTGCCAAATGGAGCCTGTTCCCACCTCTTTTGGTGCTAGCTTGTCTCATCACGCCCAGAGACCACCCTCGAGAGCAGGAGGTGTCCCCAAGAGTGACTCCTGTTTTGGGACTTGTTTCTGGGAACTTCCCCCTGAGGAACGGAGGGGAAACCCACCAGGAGGTCTCCAAGATGCAGACCGAAGGTGGCCTTGCTGTTTGATCAGTGAGCGATGAGGTGAACCACAGAGGAACATGGGGAGGAGGAGATGGGCAGCAGGGCAAGGTGGGGAAGGTTATCGATGGTTTCGAGGCAGGGAACAGACATTTGGAGGCAGTGGGGGGGTCCTCTGCTGCATCCCCTCCCCTGGCTGGGTTTCTAACATCACCCCATTTCCAATTCAAGCCCAGAAGGGCTTAAGGTGCAACTGGTCTGCAGTGGGGTTGGAAGTCATGGCCCCGGGATGAGGAGCGGAGCAGAGACCTAGCAGCAAACAAAGAGTGTGATGCTCCTGCTCCATCCCCGAGCCACGGGCAGGCGAGTGGGGCAAGTGGGTTGGAGGGAGGTGCGGATTGCGTTTCCCACTGAGCAGCCTTCCCACTGCCAGTTTTAGGGGACTGGAGAGCAAACGGTGCGAGGAACCCATCCAATGCTGGGCAGAAGCTGCAGAAACCCCTCCGATACTGGCCAGGTTTCTCCCACTGCCATCAAGAGTCCTCAGTGGGTCTGGGCAGTGACAACCCAGGAATAAAACTACTGAGTGAATCGGCCGAACGAGCTGGCTGCAACAGATGCCTTTGAACCACAGCAAACGCAAGCTGAGGCTTGAGGAACGTGTCCTCCTTCCACCCAGAAGATGCCTGGTACCGGCGGAGAGGTGAGCGTGGGACCATTCCCCACTGTTTCATCCCCCTGCACCCCTTTCTGTGACAAGAAGGCTGTGGGCAGAGGGGGACGTGCCTGACAAGCGGAGCACGGCCCCTGTGAGCAGGCAGCCCAGCCCCACTGCGCTGGCCAGGCTTGGCCCCATCCCGCCACGCTGCGCCCTCCTCCTGGGCTCTGCTCTCCCAAGGCCACAGTCATGCGCGCCCATGTCACAGTCACCACGTGCATTTTTTGGGACCTGGGGGAGCATTACAAGGAAGTGGGGGGTCCTCGGCACCCACACTACTGTGAGGAGGAGGAGAGGGGGAGGTGAGGAAGGTCCAGGCAAGGTACAGTCCAGCAAAAGCTCCTGACTGGTCCCACCGGCAGCACATTCCTCCCAGGCCAGAGCTGGGAAGGTGGAGGACTTGGTGCCAAAGAGAGGGTTGAGGTTTGAGGACAACCCGTGTGGCTCTGGCGTCCAGCCTCCCACTGTTCAGCACCGCCATCTCATCCCTGGTTCCCTCCTGCGCCCATCTCCCTGCTCTCCACGGTGCGAAGGAACAAACCTCTACAACAAGCACAACCAACACTGACTCAAACACAGCAGTGCTACCCAGAGGGTGGGGAGGGTCCCCGAGGGAGCCGTGTTGCCCGCGACGATGTCCCGTGTCCTTTCGTAGAGGTGCAGCTTGTCTTTGTTGGAGTGAAGCATCTTCACGTCCTCAAACGCGTAGTAAGCAGCCAGCATGAAGTTGACGTCCCCCGTGGTGAGGAGGTCAAAGACGCAGGACTGGAAGTAGAGGTCCTCCACAGGCAGCTTTTCCCTGCATTTGGCTGTGGCCGTTTCGTACGTGAAGGCCTCAGGGGGGGCTGGCAGGCTGGGCCCCTTCCGACGAGCACGACCCTCTGTGCCCTGAGCCGAGCGGATGGTCTGAAAGTCAATCTGTTGGTTGAGCGGACAACCACGGAGGCAGAGGTAGAGGCCCTGACTGTCCCGGTCCTCCACGGCGTTGACCACCTCCTCTGGCATGCGCACAGCGAAGGTGAGGTAGCGGCCCACCTGCCTCACCACGATGGTGGTGCCGATGTACTTCGCCTGGATCTCGATGTGTTGGCCCGACACCTTCTCGGTGATCTTCAGGCTGTTGGCTCCGTGCTTGTCCCCGCCGTTCTTGGAGCCATCGGCAAAGGCAGCGGGAAGCTCGTCCATCTCTGCCTGGTACACTTTCTGGTCCACGCACTCCTGGAAGCTCTTGAAGATGATGGTGAGCTGTGGAGGGATGGAGGAAAGGAGCAGGGTTACAACAGCGATGACCACCCGACAGCATACCCACCAGCAGTGGCAGGGGAGGGGGAGGAGCCGTCTGCTCAGCCGGGAGCGTGGCCCTTCAGCTCACGGGCAGCTGCTTTGTCCTAACAAGCTGCCCAAACTTTTTGGCACCTACACACAGCCATCCTGCTTCAACACAGGGATGGGGACACGGTATGGAGCCAAGACCCAGAGGCTGAACTGAACGTATCACCGGGATCTGTGCTGTTATCTCCAGCACAGGAGCTCCCTTGGAGCTGGAGCTGGGTGGAGTATCGCTGCTCGCAGGCCTGTGGCAGCATGCCCGTGCATGCAGCTCTGTCTTGCCTCCAGGGCCTGGTGGAGGGGGACGAGCCCTCACTCTCCTGGAGGTGGAGGAGTGTCTCCTCTGGCTCCCATGGCATTCACATCCCAAGGGCTGGACCTCTTCCTTTCCTTGGCCACTCGCAGACCAACAGTTTCCCCTCTGGACCCCAGAAACATCATGTGGACACCCACACGTTCAAGCGGGCAGGCCCTTCTAGGGATGATAGGGGCGTAGACTGATCCCAGCATGGCTCCCCACCCTGTCCGGCCTCACATATGGTCCCTTGCTGGAGGAAGGGCCTCGCAGGGCTTGCTCCTTCCCTGCTGACCTGGCTTTGGGGGGAAGGTTGAGGAGGAGTAGAGTTTGCACGGGAGGAGAGCAACTTGCTCTTCCCACGCAAACTACGCTTCCTCTTTCACCTCTTTCCCAGAGGGAGGATCGGTAAGGGGGACCTCCTGCCATGTGGCTCCCATGAAGGGGGAGACAGACCTGGCCAGAGCAGGACAGGGGTGAAGAAGGGATGACTCCAGCAGCTACAGGACAGGTACGCCCAAGGGCTGAGTATGAAAGGAAAAGCTGAGGCTCTCAAGGACTGTGGAGGCTCCCAGCACCTCTGCTCCCATTGGTGCTGGCGAGGAGCCCAGAGCTGTCCAGAACCCTGGCAACATCCCTCTCTCTCACCCCACTCCTCCACTGAGTGCCCAGATGCTCCCAGCCCCGTGGCAGCCCTGGTATCTCCCCCCACAGCCATGTCATGAGGCACCACCACCATGCCCTGGGCTTCAGGCTGCACTACTCCCCACTCGGACCTCCTGCCATCTCCTCTGGGTCCAGCCCTGCCTCTGGCTGAAGGAAGAAGGGTAGACTGGAAACATCATGCAAAAACACAAAGAGCCCCATGGACCGAGATGCTCCCTCCTTTCCAACCGCACGTAGTCCTCTAGCAATGACCCAGTAACACTTCCCACAGCTCATGCTGCTCATCTCATGACCAGTCCCTCCTCACCACAAGCCCATGAGGCAGAAAAGGGGTGAAAAGGCTCAATGAAGATGGTGATCCTGGGACCAAGCGTTAGAAATTGCAGGTCCCTGTGGTCCTTAAGGGCCATTTCCCTCAGGCCAGACTTCCTTGCAAGCTTCAGAAGGTTCTGATGTCTTTAGGTAGGTAAGGAGTTGAAAGAATCATTAAGTATCTTTAAGGAGGCTTATTAGGGACGGGCCAAAATCAAAATGCCAGCTCTGGCTAAAAAGGTCACATCCAGAGCTGAGAAGCAGCCCCTGTCCCACACGCACTCGTCTCCTCTCCCCACACGCGGGGAGAAGCAGAACTCCCAGACACGGCGGGACATGTCATCTTCCAGAAGCAGGAGGATATCTCCTGCTGAGCCTCCCCCTTTTTTCTGGCACAAGAAGTGGCCTGTTAGCTTTAGAGCTTGTGCACCACGGAGCAACCCATGAGTTCGTCAGCTCGAGGTCTCTCCTGAAGCTGAGCCCACGCCACACGAGTCCTGCTGTATCACAGCAGCGCATTTTCACTTGGGTTTTCTCAGTGTTTGCCTTGTACCTTCAGGATGTTTATTTAGGCTGCCAAAGCACCTCCAGAACTGACTGTGCCCCACAGAACGCCTCCACTTGGCTGCAAACCACAGAGACAATTACAAGCCTGGGCGGAGGAGAAGGCAGTGTGAAGAGCTCAGCTCCCTCCAGGCGCTTCCCTGCAAGCTGGAGCCTCCCTGGAGGTCAGTCTTGGGTTTGCTTGGACCTTGGGTGCCCCTTCAAAAGGTGACACCGTCGTTCTTGCTCTGGTTGTTCACAGCAACCTGGAGTCCCGGGGAGGGGGGACGGGACTTTGCAGCCCCCCGTTCTGGCCTGCAAAACGAGCTGCAGCACCTCAGCCCGCTAACCATGATGGGGCTGGATGTGCTCAGAGAGAACCCCCCGGCCACTGAGGTGAAGGTGGGGACAAGGGAAGGATGGGCATCTGGGGACAAACGCTCGAACTCAGAGGAAACACAGAAAACCCTAAGGTTGGAAAAGACCTGTAAGGTCATCTAGTCCAACCATCAACCCAACAACCTGAGCTCCCACCCGGTCTTACCCTCCCCAAGGAGGGGTGTAAACGGTGGAAAGAGATGGTGGAAAGGCTGTCCAGGAGCACTTCTGCTGGTGGGGACATGCCCGAGGCTCACCTTGCTGGTGGCGGTGGCGGCGGAGCCAGGCAGCACCGGTGTGTTGGTGACCTGGACGTTCAGGTAGTTATTGTCTATGAGCGGCCAAGCCCCTTGCACCTTGCAGGTTTGGAAAGTGTCTGTGAAAGTCCTGAAGTGGGGATCCCCGAAGAGCCCACAGTGGGTGTAGCTGCTGAACTGTGACAAGACGCAAGAACTACAGCTCACAAATTTGTCACTAGCCTTATTTAAAACACTCTCAGCATGGACAGAGTAGCCTGGCTCTTTACCCCTCTGAAGCAGAAAAGTTGGCCATCCTTGGAGCAGTTGTGTTGCACCATGAGATCGTCTATGCCATGCACGGCGGAGTGATAGGCCAGGTCGCCCCTGCAAGTGCGGGCGGTGCGGCGGGTGCAGTGCGCGTAGGCGCGCAGCGCCGTGCAGAATTCGGGCGCTTCCTCCGTGCCCAGGTGGTGGGAGCCCGATGTGGCCGCCCAGAACTCAGAGTTGCACTTGAGGATCTTGCATGGAGACGTCACTGCGGGAGGAAAACACAAAGGGGGTCAACGCTCGCCCGCCCGTGTGTGGGACACCCCGACTCTC